GTGTGTGTGTGTGTGTGTGTGTGTGTTTGTGTGTGTGTGTGTGTGTGTGTGTGTGTGTGTGTGTGTGTGTGTGTGTGTGTGTGTGTAATGTATCCTAAGCTTATGATAAAGTATGGATTGATCTAGCTATGCTCAGTAAATGCAGCAGGTTTCCTTATCCCCCTGGGAAAGATCCCGTGTGCTTCTTTAAGCACAGCACCCTTTCTTTGCCACTGGCATCGACTGGAGAGAACTGGGGTTCCAGCTGCATAACTATGGGGCCCTATGAGTCTCGTTTTCCAGCACCACGATAGGGATGTCCCCGAAGAGCCTGCCCCCTAGATATTCTGCATGTACCAGCACCTCTGACTTTGGGACGGAATCATTTAAGTAAAAAGTCCGTGCCAGGCCCAGGAGGAGGAAACCATCGCTGCCCGGAGGGGTGCAGAAGAGGCTTCGAAGTTCCACCTTAAGCAGGGGCCCATCTTCCCATTCGTCTGGTCTTTGAGGAGGGAGTCACCCTTGGCCAGGATCACCAGGTCTTTCCCTGGGGATGGGTCTATGAACATTACTGTCTCTCTTGGCCTGTCCATACTGCCAGGAATCTGTTACTAGCACACCCGCTTGTCGCATTCTACCCCAGATCTTCCAGGCCATGCTGGGAACCGCTCGCAGACTCTGCCCAAACCAGAGCCCTCCTGGACCCGCAGCTGGCGGGACAGGGCTGCAGGCCTGCAAAGCATCCGCTGCCCGGATTTGACATGGCTCCCCGGTGACTGCCACGTGCCTGCCTGGCAGCTTGCACCGCAAGGGATGATCAGGCCTTTGCCCACGTGCCCTAGTGCAACATGCTGCACTGCCGAGCTCTGTGTATCCCAAGCAGGTTTCCCTCGCTAGCATGCCTGAACCCAGCCCTGGAGAGCCCCCACTCCACACGCGATCCAGGACTTGCGTTCCCACGTTCAGTCCTTAGCTTCCCCGCTGAGACTCCAAGGGGCCAATTGCTGCAGCAGCTCCTGCGCTGAGCACACCGGCAGCGTCCCACTCACGTCACACAGGCGACCCTGTAGCCCCGCCTGGGGGGGGAGCATTTGTCCCATGACCAGTCCTGAGAGCCACTTAGCACCTCTCCCCTCCCCCCCAACCCCGTGTCCTCCTCCTTTCTCGGGTGCTGGCAGAGTGCTCTCTGCAGTGACCAACTGAACCAGCATCCACCAAGGAGAGGTCAGGGGGCTAGAAACAGGAAATTAACTGCACCGGAAAGACACCATCGGGCCGACGCACTGGGATTGCCAGGTCCCTATGCAGGGCTCCAGGTGCTATCGGCCACGGCAAATTCTTTCATGGGCTTACAGCCCCACTCCCGTGGAACAGGGATTCACACGCTACGTGCAGACGGCGGAAAGGCACCAATATCCAGTCCCTCCGCACACAAGAGACCCACCCAGAGCAACCGAGCGCACGCAGAGCCTGGGGCTCACAGTCACCCTTACCCTCAGCTCCCGGAGGTAGCACTGCACCGGATCGTACCCCACCACTGGGAAAAGGAGGGTCTGGACTGGAGCGTCGCTCTTCAGCATCCCCCGGCTGAACGACTTCACCGGCCGGTCCACGCCCTCCAGGTGCCTGGGGATCTGCTTGGCGTTCAGGTGGATGAGGATGTCGTAGAAATCCAGAGGTGGGCGGAAGATCATCTGTGGGAGGGAGGAAAGGGAGATGAGTAACGCTGCTGGCAATCGGTAAAGTACAGTGCAGGTATCCGGGAGGAGGAAACCATCCGCTGCATCATTAACTCTGTGACACCCCTTCTGGGCAGGCAGCTGTTTCAGTGCCTTTGCTGAAAGAGCTTTACGATCAACACACGTGGCTAGCGCAGGGGACAGGGAGTGTCCTCTAGGGACCGGACTAGAGAGGAGTCAGGAGCTCACAGTCCTTCTGTGAGACCATGGACCAGTCGCTGAGGGTACGTCAACACAGCAAAGAACCCGCCAGCTGATTCAGGATTGGGCAGCTCAGGCTGCAGGGCTGCTTCACAGCTCTCTCGACTTCTGGCTTCCGGGACCTTCCCCCCCTCGCTGCGCCCTACAGCCCAGCCTCCCGCCGGGGCCCTGAAGTCCACACTGCAATACAGCAGCCCCGGGAGCGTGAGGTGGCTGGCGTGGGCCAGCGGTGGGCGTCTCATGAACATAAGAACATAAGAACGGCCGTACTGGGTCAGACCAAAGGTCCATCTAGCCCAGTATCCTGTCTACTGACAGTGGCCAGCACCAGGTGCCCCAGAGAGGGTGGACCGAAGACAATGATCAAGCGATTTGTCTCCTGCTATCCCTCTCCAGCCTCCGACAAACAGAGGCCAAGGACACCATTTTATCCCCTGGCTAATAGCCTTTTATGGACCTAACCTCCATGAATTTATCCAGCTTCTCTTTAAACTCTATTATAGTCCTAGCCTTCACCGCCTCCTCTGGCAAGGAGTTCCACAGGTTGACAACATGCTGTGTGAAGAAGAACTTCCTTTTATTAGTTTTAAACCTGCTACCCATTAATTTCATTTGGTGTCCTCTAGTTCTTCTATTATGGGAACTAATAAATAACTTTTCTTTATCAGCCCTCTCCACACCACTCATGATTTTATAGACCTCTATCATATCCCCCCTCAGTCTCCTCTTTTCTAAACTGAAAAGTCCCAGTCACTTTAATCTCTCCTCATATGGGACCCGTTCCAAACCCCTAATCATTTTAGTTGCCCTTTTCTGAACCCTTTCCAAGGCCAAAATATCTTTTTTGAGGTGAGGAGACCACATCTGTACACAGTATTCAAGATGTGGGCGTACCATAGTTTTATACAGGGGCAGTAAGATGTTCTGGGTCTTATTTTCTATCCCTTTCCTAATAATTCCTAGCATCCTATTTGCCTTTTTGACCGCCGCTGCACACTGTGTGGAAGTTTTCAGAGAACTTTCCACGATAACTCCAAGATCTCTTTCCTGATTTGTCGTAGCCAAATTAGCCCCTCATGGGTGTGCAGACACCCCCTTCATCGCCCCTCGCCTCGGCTGACAGCATCTACCCCAAGCCTTTCAACAGCCTCCGAACGGACAATCCTAATAGTATGGTTACCCCGGGAGGACAGGGGCTCACAAAGCAGCCCTCCCCGAAGGGTGCAGCAGAGACTGGGGAAACCCTCCAGCGGAGCCAAGCACCACGCGGACACGCCAACGGAAGGGTTTAAACGCAGCGTCTCACGCAGCGTGGGACAGTAAGACGGGTCTGTCTCTCTGTGGGACAGCTGCTGCCCCACTTGCCCAGGGCACATCTGGGAGAAACATGCCACATTTAAGGGAGGGCGGATGGAAAGGGGGCTAGAGGACGGGCCAGCAAGCCACGGGAAAAACCCAGCCTCCGAAACGCACTCCCTCGCATGCTCCGGCTTCCCCTCTGGAAAGGGAACGAGAGGCTTGTGCCAAGTTCAGATCAAGGGAGCAGGAGGCGAATAAAAACAGGGGACGAAAACGCACTGCCTGGCTGCAGAGGACAAGCTGAACTCACGCGCCCACACGCAGCTTGAGACGAGCCAGCTGTACACTGGCCACCTCGGACGATCCGGGCAAGGGACAGGGCAGCTGCTTTCCACACCATTCGGGGGTCCCCAGCCTGCTGAGAGATCTAGCCTCTGTGTGCTGAGCAGGTGGCGGGGAGGGGGCCAGCTGGACTCTGCGTCTCGCCCCCCAGGCCCACGGAAGCTGGGAGCAATACACATCAGCAATACCACCACCTCAGAGGGGAGGCACAAGGGAGCCCTAGAGCCTCAGGCAGCCCTGGCCAGAAGATCCGAGAGCGACCTAGGAACCAAGCACCTCCTCTCCCATCCGAAGAACGGCCAGACCAAAGGTCCATCCAGCTCGGTGTCCTGTCTGCCGGCAGCAGCCAATACCAGGTGCCCCAGAGGGAATGGGCAGAACAGGGCATCACCAAGCGATCCCACCCGTCATCTATTCCCAGCTTCTAGCAATCAGAGGCTACAGGCCTTCAAAACATCCTCTGGCGAGGAGTTCCACAGGTTGACTGTGCACTGTGTGAAGAAATACTGCCTTTTGTTTTAAACCTGCTACCTACTCATTTCATTGGGTGACCCTTAGTTCTTATGTGATGGGAACAAGTAAATAACTTTTCCTTATCTGGGGGAGGGGGAAGGAGGCGCCTTCCTTCACGTGTGTGTGATGAGTGTAAGGCCCGGCAAAGAGAAAACTGATTGGGAGAAGGACCAGATGCCAGGGACTCTCAGTTAGGAGGCACCTAAGGATCACAGAGCTCGAGGGTGACATTGACTAGGGAGACAAAGAGGACGTGAGGTACAGTGGACTGTCAGCATCAACATGCTCCCTGCAGAGGGAGCTGAACGGCGTCTTTAGGGCTCTATGACCTCCAGAGACAGCTCCCTCCCCTAGAGCCCCCGAGCCCCTCAGCCTCTGCGCCCGGGCCCGTGAGGGTCCCACCTCAGGCTTTCCTGCCGCCCCAGCGGGGCCCTCACAGGGCAGCTGTGGCTCCCGCCCCGCACAGGAGGGGGCGGGTTTATTATTAACAGAGCAGAGCCACGCCAGACAGATAAATATTTGGACAGAGGGGGCGTGGGGATTTGGCCACAGCGGCGTTAAAATGGAAAAAGCAGCTCATCAGCTGCGCCGCCAAGCATGGACCCACCGACCAGGAACGCAGGAGCTGGGGGGACGCCACCCAGGCTACATGCGGCCG